AATATATATATATTTATATATATATTATATATTTATATTATAAATATATATATATTTATATATATATATATATATATATATATATATAGCCTCCCTGTGTATATATATATTATTATGTAAAGTGCATAAACAAGTGTCTATAAACTGCACCCCGTCCCCCACCGCTCAAACCACCATTTTCATTAACTTTATATAGGCTGAGTCTATCCAGAACCCGTGGCAGTAATCCTATATTTGCTTCCAACAACCATGCCGAGTCATGAACAGACTGCGGGAATTAATCTGCATATTTGCTAAAGCGATAGAGAAATCAAAGTGAGCCATGCCTCGAAGACGTTGATGAGTCCTCTGCCGCTCCGATTTCTGACGGAACTGAATTCGTAACGACGGTCACGTTCCGTACGTAAATGTTTTTTTTACTAATTCGGGAAACGTTACAGAAAAGCCGACCTAGCTTCCAGACAACCAAGACATTTTTCACGTTATAACTAATCCTCGCATGAGCGGAATTAAAAACCTGATTATAAAGTGATTACGGTCTCTGTAAGATGGACTTTTTTTTTTTTCTTATCGTGTCCACCGTTGTCACATTGTTTTCCCGCAGCCTCATTTATCATCCTCCTCTGTTTTCCGACAGCGAGGATGTGAACCACTCTAAATATATTGACTATTACCCTAGCCTCGGGGCATTCATTTTCCACATGCTCATTTATTTCCATCTGCCTTCTCTTTTGACTTTCTTCCCTATCCCATCCTCTGAGCCTCCCTGTGTTTTATGCTTACGGGAGGCGGGTGCTCCAGACAGATGTTGAAGTGTTTGGTCTGGTCAGGCTTCACACGGCGCAGGGCCACCCTGGACTCCCCGATGAACTCATTATGCGTCAGCTTGTCTTCATCACACACAGACACTCTGGGAGTAAAACACAAAGTTAAAAGAGGGAGAGAGTTAAAAGGGGAGAAAGTAGTAGAGCTAAGGATGTGTAGAGTCGACCGATGTTTCCCAACCTTTTTGTGCCAGGGATCATTTTTTTTACGTTAGAAAAAAAAACGTGAAAGACAAATACGAACCGTGACACACAGAGGTCATTATTTGTGAACCGTGACACAAGGGACTGACAGTTGTGATGTAATGTGCCGCGAGCGTTTCTAATATCGGAATTATTTCCAGAGAGACTCCTATGTTTAAAGTATATTCTGTACAACGTGCTACATTGAGTTTACTGTATGTCATACTGCAGGTTATATTCAATGTGCAATGCCCCGTCACAAGACAGGAACTGAATTTTGGCCCGCTGGTCTCATTAGGGATGTTTGACAATATCGGCCGATTATCGGAATTATCGTTTTTTCCTCCGATAACGAAAACCCGATAATGAAAACCCGATAACGCTAACCCGATGCCTGGGTTACGCCAGATGATGTGTGCCCTAAAAATAGTTAACCCGATGCCTGGGTTACACCAGATGATGTGTGCCGTAAAAAATAGTTTTGCGGATAAACGGCTGCATATTAAAGTGAAAGTCACTAGATGGCAGCATTGCAGCTCATTTAATTATTCTCATTGTCATACAGTGGTTTGTACAGATAAATAAATAAATATTACCAGGCCCATATCGGTATCGGTTGGAAGATGAACCGGAAAGTATTTGGACAATTTCGGCATATCGAATATCGGGAAAAGGTTCATATGGGACATCCCTAGTTTTAATGCAAGCTCTGTTCCCAGTTAAAGTCCGCAGCAAGATTTAACAGGATTAGCATCGGAAGATGAAGTTGTAAATAAATCCCTTAAAAATCCATATACAGTGTTTGACAGACATACTGCCATGCTTTATGCCGGGCTGTACCTTTATCCCATGTTTATACCATTGATTTTTTTTTATTTTTTTGCCAATATTGAATTGGAAACCAAAAATAGATCACCTCTTATCAAAAAACAAAAATCAAAATATGTCAAAATAAAAAGCATACAACAGTAACCACCATTTCCACATGATAACTATATATGTATATATATATATATATATATTTATATATATATATATATAAATATATATATATATATATAAATATATATATATATAAATATATATATATATAAATATATATATATATATAAATATATATATATATATAAATATATATATATATATTTTTTACTAATAAAAAAAACACTGGAGCTAGTCATATATTGCTGCCTTATTTAGCCTGTATTGCTGTTAACAAGTGAGTCTATTAACGGAGATAAAACACAAGATTAAAAAAAAAAAAATTAAGTTAATGTCACAGAAAGCAACGAACCTTGTACGTACACAGAGAAAATAATTGCCATTTTCTTCCCCCGTCCCCCCTGTGGGGAAACGGCACACTGTGAAAGTGGCTGAGTGAAGTTAAGTAGATCACAGCCCTGACAATCTTCTCCGCTGTGAACAGCGTCAACTGGAATGGGTAAGAGTGAGCAGCAGTGGTGACAGAAGTTTCGATAAAAATGCTAAAATTTATGGAAATCTGCGATCGTGTGCGTCTGGCTGTGTCTCAAAGCGAAAGTGAAGCTACGGTCACACCGCTAAGGTAGCAGTGTGACCGTAGCTTCACGTTCACTTCACAGGACCTCATTCTCACTGATGCTATTCGGCCTCTAAAAACATCAACGTGGACGTGGACAGTGAAGGATTCAGTAGCGCTGAGGGAAAATGTTGATATGAATATTCTGCCTCTTAAGCCGACGTTGCCTTTTACTTTGAATGAATTGCCGGGTAAATGAGCAAACGTTCTCAAGTCTCCAGTTTTAGTAGCAAAACTTTGCGTTAAGGGTAAAACCGAACTACGGTAAGAGCAGAAAAGAAAACAATAAAATGAAAAAAAATCATCATTTTGGAATCCAGTTGCAGACCGGATGAGACAGTGACACTAAAAATGAGAACGAATATCAAGATAAATATGTGGTTTGTTTGTCGTTTTTTTCTGATCCTACATAAATCTTATATTAATATACTATACTAAACATATTAAATTGGTGACTTTGTGTAATGTTGATTACAGAAACATATCAATAGGAGATATTTATTTCCCCTTCATTTTTACAAACTTTGAATTTTTTTTTTGAATTAATGGCGATTAATCGAGAGCACTCCTTGTCTCTTGATTTTTAAAAAACTCCCTGTCGATGGAAGTGTCAACTCACTGGCATCCTGTCTAATTTCCCTTAAGAAACAAAACAGTCACTTTTGTTTACGACAAATCCATCCAGCGACCTGCTGCGGCAAAGTTTAAGTCCCAGACGCACACAAAGCACAGCTTTCGTCACCTCTGCAGGGGGTCAGTGAAACTAAAAACAACCCGAGGTCTCCTGAGTGCCCTCAATATGTCACTGTAACTCGGCCGGGGAAGCAGCGAAGCAGACAGAGAGAAGGGAAATGAAAGATTGTAGCGGTTTAGAAGGCATGATCTTTGACGGTTTTCTGGTAGGTAGACAGGATGAATGAGAGGACGGGGGAGGACGGGACCTGCGTGCCCGGTGAAAGGACGAGCACAAACAGAACGAAAATGTAGAAATCAAGGGGTGAAGGCTTCTGTGATTGATAGGCGAGATAAGAAATGTTTTGTAAAAGACTTGGCCTGCCGGACAGAAGAGAGACGGGTGAATGGAAGTGAAAAAAAAAAACCCCCAAACATTTACCGGAGTGTCTTGCGGTACATGTCTTCCTCTGTGATTCCACAGTAGGTGAGGGTTTCGTTCCACACGGGGTTCAGCGTGTTGCGTACAGTCTTGGTTTTCAGCTTGTTAGCCTGTAGTAGCAGAGAGAGACGTAAATTTGAGGATTACGGGGAGCTGAGTCATTGGAGGTTAAAAAAAAAGTGCAATATCACATCATGGCGCATGCGACTCATCATCTTTATCACAATGCAAGGCTTAGCACGAAAAACAGATCAAAAAGACTCAGACCTTGCAAGCACCAGGAAGAAGATGAAGTTTGACGTAAGGATCGGCCAAACCATTGAAATCCATCGGTTTTAGACCCTTAAAAAGAACAAACGCACAACACATGAGAGACTTGAAGAATAGTCCTTAAAAAAAATAATTGAATTTTCTTGGTAATAAAAAAATTCTGTTGTATGTGTTCATTGAAGAAGCAAATGTCACTTTGTTAAACCATTAAAAAAAAACGTGCGAAAAAATACATGAGATAAATCTTGGCTGTCAAACTCGCTTTGGTTCAGGGGCCACATGCAGCCTGATTAGATCAAGCGGGACGGATCAATACAATCATAACTTAATTACCTAGAAATAACAAAAAGTCCATCTTTTTCCTTTTTGTTTTCATGCGAAAAAATACATGAGATAAATCTTGAGATTTAATGAAATGTGATTTAAAAAAAAAAAAAAAACATTTCCTGAACATGAAAGGTTTGGGCCATATATTATTCATTTTTTTTGCATCGTAGACCACTTCGACAGGAGACATCTTTTTCCATCAACCAGCGACAGGTGTGTATCATGCATAATACATCATACAGACTGACAACGGGCGGTGTCATGTCAATTTGAAATATTATATGATGTCAGTGTTTTTTTTTGTTTTTTTTTTTCTTTGTGATGATGCTGCTTTTGTCTTACCTTGGCTTTTAGCACCGTGCAGTGCAAAGAACTAGTGGCTCTCTCATACAAAAGATCAAACTCCAAAGTCCCGAGGGAGGCTAGGAAGCAGTTCAGAAAGAAGTCAAGACAAATGCACTTTTTCTTTTTTGTCTGTAATACTGTAACAACAAAACAAAAACGCAGTGGGAAGGTAAACGTAACCCTGCCACACACTAAAGCTGGCGCACGTACATTCCGCCTAGCCGCGGTAGAACAGGCTACTTAACGACAGGTGACGTGCACCTGAACGATGTGTATTATTGTTTACTCTGACGGCTAACGGCTTCTCAACATATCCCTCGCCACTTCTATATCTTGTTAGTGCTGAAGGTCTTTTTCGTCTCTCACACTTCTCTTGGCAGCTTTAGCGGAAGCCGTCATTACTTTAAGGTGACTCACTGCTATCGTCGCTGTCACAGCTGTCAATCTCAATGGAGGTGTCCATGCTGCTCGTGGCTGATAGCGAGCCTCCCAGCCCTGTTCCCCCTGGAAACAGCGGCGACAACAACCTGCCGCTCCCCCCGCCTTCTCCCCCTCCGACGGCCCCTCCGCCTTGACATGCGCTGCCTGGGCTGAGAGCCTTAGGAGGGGACAACTGGTTGGGCGAAAACGGCTCAGCGAAGGAGGATGTGGGCGAGATGCGAGGGAAGTAAGCAGAGATTTGTCTGATGGGACGAATGGGACCCGGGCAGACATCAATGGCCATGTGCTCCTGGATGGAGACGGCTAGACTTTTTCCCTTTCTCACAGTCATAGGGCTATAGGGAGAAGAGCAGAGGGAAGGAAGGAGGGAAAAAAAAAAGGGACTTAGAAAATCACATTTCATGTTGTTATGGGAAACCTTTCAAAGCATTATTTGAATAATAATATAATAATGAGGACTTTTACGGACAGACAAAAGCGCTAAAAAAATGCTTTTCGGAAATTTAAAATCCCGAGCCGCACGCACATTCACAGTAAACTGGTTG